TTGGTGTTTCAAAAGATAACTGTGCTTGTTTTGAAATTTATACTGTTTCCATCATTAATAAAGTTAGGGGTTTTTGTGGGGTGGGGAAAATAAATAGGGGTAGGGAGAAGAGAAAAATGACATGTTCAACAATACCCTGACATAACAGATGACTTTAATAACAAATTCTGAACAGGGACATGACCAACTACATCCATATGCCCTTCTTTTTGATACATAATCTTCTAAATAGGCTAATGATCTTTAAATTGGCACATAATTTAAAAACTGTCATGAAGTCTTTTTATTTTTTTGACAGGTTGAGTTACAGACAGTGAGAGAGACAGAGAGAAAAGTCTTCCTTCCGTTGGTTCACTCCCCAAATGGCCACTACGGCTGGTGCTGTGCCGATCTGAAGCTAGGAGCCAGGTGCTTCTTCCTGGTCTCCCATGCAGGTGCAGGGGCCCAAGCACTTGGGCCATCCTCCACTGCCCTCCTGGGCCACAGCAAAGAGCTGGACTAAAAGAGGAGCAGCCGGGACTAGAACCCACCGCCCATATGGGATGCCAGCGCCACAGGTGGATCATTAACCAAGTGAGCCACGGCGCCGGCCTGTCATGAAGTTTTTAGCAATTACATCTATTTACCTGTATTAGGTGTTGTACTAATGCCTAGCAATGCAGCAATCCCCTACTCACACAGCACACCTTTTCTAATGGGGTTATCAATTAAGAAATCAGTAATAATATGGTATAATCATAATATGAAAAGAGGTTTGAGAAGAGACTGAGAACTTCAAATTTAGGGAAAAACAATCAATGAGGCAAAAGGTTGAAAATGATATTCCAAAAGAATCAGCATATATAAAGGCTCATGAGAGAGTGCCTAGTATATTTAAGAAATATTTCAACATGGCTGAACATGTGAACATTTAAAAATAAAATGAGGTCCCTGTGTGATTTTCAAAAATGCATTTTATTATTTTGAGGCAGAGAGAGAGACAGATGGACAGAAAGCTCCCATTCACAGGGCCACTCCCCAAATGTCCACAGTGCTGAAGCAGGACCAGGCCAAAGTCAGGAGGCAGCAACTCAATCCAAGTTTCCCATGTGGGTGTCAGGGACTTAACAACTTGAACCATCCCTGGTTGGCTCCCAGGGTGTGCATTAGCAAGAAGCTAGAACCAGCAGCAGAGCTCAGACTAACCTAGACATTCCAATATGGAATGTGAGCATCGCATGCGGCAACTTATCCACATAACCCTTGGTGTGTTTTTTTTAAGTAAAAACAAAACAAAACAACTAAGTAGAGAAAATTAAATAGATGGGTAACTCTACAAATGCTACATTACTGGCAATCTCATATTAGAATCTTCCATCTGTTGGTTCAGTTCCCATATGCCTGCAACAGCTGGGGCTGGGCCAGAACCAAAACAGGAGCCAGGTACTCCACCAGGATGTCCCACATGGGTGCCAGGGACCCAAGCAGTTGGGTCACCGGCTGCTCTCTTCCAGGCACAATGGCAGGCAGGCATAACAGAAGCAGAGCAGCCAGGATTCAAATCAGCTTTCTGAGAAGGGATGTGGACACCCCAAGTGGCAGCTTAACCTGCTACGTCACAAAGCCCACCCCTGTATTTTATTTCTAAATGACGAGTTAAAAGACAAGGTTTCAGGCTGCTATTTTCTAGCACTTCTTTCAAATTAGACTTGATTTTCAATATATAAACAGTCAAATCAAATTAAATTATCAAATATTGGTATAAGAATTTTGATCAGATGAATGGAATTTATGTATCCATTGAAGACTGGGGTAATTTCCATAATTATCTCTTTTTTTTTAATGGTTCCTTTTTATCATTGTATATCACCATAGCATTCTTTTCATGCTTCCTGTCTATCCAATGGTATACTATGGTGGAAATTAAATGTGAATAACAGTAAAAACAAATTAACTCTAAAAATGTTTAAAATAACAATGGTATTCAGAAATGTTGAACTAAGGAATAGGTATTGAAATGGTGACCAAGTAAATTCTTTCAGATCACTGCTAAAATGCATTACTACACATCTGATATCTATTGCTAGCAATGTCCTTCAAATAAGAAACTATGTGATCATGTAAGTTGAATTGCTTTAATAACCACATTTCAAATGTCCTGCTTTTTTTCCTTGCTTAGAAAAATATTTAGCACGTTTTAAAGAACTGGGTATTGAATATTTGCATTCAAGTAAATATAGATCAGGAAATATAAGTACATGAACCAATATATTTACAATAGATTATCCCATAGCCAAAATATATTACCACAAATAATGAAAATATATATATATATATATAAATAAGTACAGATACATTATCAAAACTCCTTTTTTTAAAAAAAGAACTATTTTATTTATTTGAAAGACAGAGTTACAGAGAGAAGTAGAGACAGAGAGAGAGGTCTTCCACCCGCCGGTTCACTCCTCGAATGACCACAACAGCCAAAGCTGAGCTGACCCCAAGCCAAGAGCCAGGAGCTTCTTCTGGTCTCCCATGTGGGTGCAGGAGCCCAAGGACTTGGGCCATCTTCTACTGCTTTCCCAGGCCATAGCAGAGAGCTGGATCGGAAGCGCAGCAGCCGGGACTTGAACCAGTGCCCATATGGGATGCTGGTGCTGCAGGCTGGGGCTTTAACCCACTGTGCCACAGTGCTGGCCCCTATCAAAACTCCTTTTTAAACCATTTCTTTTCTCAAAAAAATGTTATTAAGAAAAGGCAAAATCATTTACAGTACAAATAATCATAAGAATATATACCATCTAATGTGTTGTTAACATACCATCTATAAAAATAAGTCATATGACTATCAAAATAGTAATTTTTAAATGAAATATCATCTATACTATGTACAATCTATATGGTACTTTTTTTCAATCAAACTGATATTTTCAGTTAGATCTCATCAGAAATAAAATGGTGGAGATGAGAAAAATAAATTCTATAACCTTAGCTGGCCCCTTACATTCTAGATGGATATCTTTCCAAATGGTGTCAGGCAAACATCAAGAACAAAAGGATATCCAAAAGAATAAGCTGAATTCAGGTTCCATTAAAGTATGCCCTAAGCCAAAGACCTGGGAGACGAAGACAGCTGTTTCCTCCCAATTTCTCAGCTAACACAGAATCTTAAGAACAAACGCAATATATCCTAACTTCAAACCAGGCTAAGAAGGAAGGATACATCTTCAATGCTGTGTGCATGAGGCAACTTCAAAAGAAAAGGGGAAGATCCTTTTGTTCTAGGTAAAAGGCTGTAGCCAAAGACCTAGTGAATTTATAAGTCCTTATGTACATTTCTTTTACTGAAAGAAGAATGTTATGTTTTTTAATATAGAAAACTGTAAAACTTTTATTCAAGTTTAAATGCTCTTAACTATTAACAGCCTAAAGGTACACTCAATATCAATGTTTCCTGATATTTTATAACCTTTAATCAACTTTATAAAAAAATTTATTTCCATCTTTAACTTGGAGCACGCACCCCCAGACAGGGGTTCCAATCTAGATCCCAGACAGCAGGATCGTGGGCAATCATATATCTTCTTTGGGACTGAATTGCCTCATCTGCAAAGATTCTACCCTAAGAAAGATATAAAGATTAGACTGAATAATAGATGTGATAAATACAAATATACAGTGTTTTCATAGTACTGAGCAATTAGACGGTGTCGCTGATGTTGTTTAGATTACAGGATTGGTAACTTAAAACTATTTTGAATCAGCTGCCCAGCTTTCTCTCTCAAGACACACATACTGTATTATAAATTCACCCATTCACCCAGCCATTTCTCAAAATTATCTATGTATTAACTTTAAAAATTTTTATTAGTATAAAGAGAACAGATTTTATGCACTCCATAGATATAGTTCCAAGAATACAAAACATTTTCCTCACACTTCTACTCCCCCCCAAACCTCCCTTCTTCCCCTTTCTTCATCAGTTTTTGCAAGGACATAATTTTAGTCCACTCTATATTCACAGGTTTAATTTGCCACTAATCATAATATTCAACAAGTAAAAAGTAGAAAGACCAAAGTTCCACAATATAAACATAAGTTAAAAATGAGAATCATATCCCAAAGTGCCCATTTCATTCCTATGCATTTTTTGTATACTATATTAGTTGCCACATATTAGAGAAAACACAATACTTGTCTTTTTAGACTGGCTTATTTCACTAAGCGTAACAGTTTCCAGTTGCATGCATTTTGTCGCAAAAGACAGGATCACATTCTTCTTTATGGCTGAGTAGTATTCCATAGCATATATATACCACATTTTCTTTATCCAGTCATCAATTGATGGACATCTGGCTTGATTCCATATCTTAGCTACTGTGAATTGAGCTGCAATAAACCACATGGGTGCAAATAACTCTTTGATATGATGATTTCATTTCCTTTGGGTAAATTCCCAGGAGTGCTTGTTCATACACAGTTCGGAGTGAGTCAGTTAGTTATTCCATGCACCTAACTCCCATGCTGTGCCTTGACCACCCACATCATTGGCTTTAATGTCTCGGGTGTGGGAGATTTCATTTTAAAGGAATCACTTCGTTCTCTCTTGGGTATTCAGTTTGGCATGAATTTTGCATTTTCAAGCAAGTTTCCTCCAAAATTATGATGAGAATTATGACCCTTCTGCTTATTGTTCAACTCCTCACTATTCTTTTTTGGCATTGATTTTATTAAATATAATTTAAATAATTATTTAAAAATAAAAATTCAGAGAATATACAGGGAATTTTAGGGATCTAAAATACAACAGAATTGGAACTTCTCAAAATACATAGTTATAATATTGATCATATTGGTGACAATAGTATTCAAAAGTCCAAAGTATTGGCTTTTACTTCCATTGTATATGAAAATACATGAGACTAATAAGCTTTCTCACTATGGAAAAACATTATTATATTACATTATATTACATTATAATATATTAAAATTAAAAACTATTTAATAAAATTTGTTTCCTTCCAAAAGTAAATTGAGATTGTGTCTTAACCAGCTTATGAGAAGGGAAGTTTCAGACATAATGTTTTTAAAACTAGCCATTATTTCCCATGTTGAAAAAAAATTGCAATTTTATTTCCTAACAGCAAATGAAACTGTCAGGAAAATTTAGGTGTAATAAAATTGGGTGGTTAAACCAACATTGTGGATTTAAAATGAAACTGAATTAAAGGAATTAAAATTAATTCTTATGTCAGTCAATCCTTTAAAAATACTATTCAAAACTTACTGTTTCTACAAACAGAACTTCTTTGTTCTTGATAAAGTGCAAAGTTAACTATCTCTTTAATGATCACTAATGGTACTGCAGTTGAAATTGTGAAGTGGACAATATTTTGCATAAAATGTATTGCTTCTGGCAACTTTTCCCCTAAATAAAAAGTTGTCAAACAGGGTGACTTTAGTGGTGCAGGGTTTTAAAATGGTGGATTCAGTCCAAGGTTAGCTAATAACGGTTGACATGCCCTGGAATCCTGAGGCCTAAATCAACATTGTTTTCACAGCTGTAATTAAGCCACCTAATCAGAAGCACATTTTGACGGGACAGTTTCTGGAAGCCAGACATTACAATTTCTCATGCCTGGAGCGCAGCGGCTCACGAGAGGTCCTCGTTCAATTTCAGGTTGAAAAGAGAGGTTGGGGGGGAGCAGTAAAATAAGAAACGAAGTTTTTAAAAGCCATCTACAACCGTTGAAATGAAGCAGGCCTACGTGTTCATGACTCGACCAGCCTTGCATCCACTTTCCTCTGGCTCTCTGCTGAGTCCCCCCAGCCCTCAAGGGGCAGCTGCACACAGTGAGATGAGGGGTCTCTGCCAAGATCAACAGATGAGCTGGTCTGAACTGGCTCTCTGTGTGTTCTGATTGTAAATTGTGCTGGTGATGATTAGAGAACTCTAACACAGGATGTCGACTCTTTAAAACTGTCCAGAAAAAATAATTTTTTTTAAGTTCGGGAAAATTTTTTAACTTCTTTTGTGGCTTCGCGCATAGTGTTGTGTCTATAACTTTCATATGATTGAATGAATTCACCCAAATGAAGCAATTCTGTTATTAAAAAAAGAAGACGATGGTTTGGCTCGCAGCAGGGACCTTCACTTCAGTCTGTTTATGGAACAATGCTGCGGAGCACAGAGTCACGTGCCGCTACCACCTGCCAGCAGAAGGTATCCCTCAAACAATGAGAACCTAGGATGTGATCGGCACATTTTATCAAGAGGGGTGTTGATGATTTTAGAACAGCTGAACTGCCAGCTTCAGTTGTTTTCTGCAGTGTTATTACATTCTGTAACATTTAAACTTTCAACCCCAGAGGCCATTGTAAAACTATCAATATGAAGGCACTAGTCACTGGAGTCTGATTACATTTAGTTCTGCATTTTAATTACATATGGATTCTATTAACTAAAACTTTGCCTTATAGGCAACATTTTAATCAAATTACTATAATTTTCAAATATGTTACAATAGTTTCACGAGTTAAAAGTTCACATTCCTAACATATTAAATATCAAAAAAACCTTCAAATATAAAAAAGGAAATACTCCTTACAAATATCCTAATACATTTTCAGATTACTTTGGGGACTTTTTGACTACCTAGTTACAAGTTACATTGTGAGACATATGTAACTGGAATGCATTTGGAAATGGGTTATTGCTGTTGAATATAAGCAAATTTAAAAATACATACTCATTTTATTGTTGAAAATTGAAGCAGAAACAAGACAAAACATAAAATCCAGTATCCAGAATCAGTATTTGGAACCTCAATCAAAGAATTTTAAAGCTGAGAGGGAATTCAGATTTCATGCAGTTGAAACTCATTAATTTACGGTCAAGAACATCAAGACACAAGGAAGTGTGCGAATTATTTCCCAAAGCTCTACGATGAGTAGGCAACACAGCTTGCTCTAGAACCCACATTTTCTCGCACTCTTTCCACCCATACTTCCAGTTTTGTGTCCTATGTAAACAACAATCCCATGTCACCTTAGAACTCAAAGAAATATTTAACATGATAAAATACACACAACATAAAATGTATCATTTTAAAGTGTATAATTCAGAGGCATCAACTACATTTGCAATGTTGTGCAACCATCATCACCATCTAGTTCATCACCCCTAAAGGAAAACCCATACCGATTAAGCAGTCATTCTCCACTGTCTCCTCCCCTAGCCTCTTGTCAACCATCCATTTGCTTTCAATCACTATGGATTTACCTATCCTGGAAAATCCATATAAATGGAATCACGCAAACGTGGCCTTTTGGGTCTGGCTTCTTTCATCCAGCATATTTTCAAGGGACATCCATGTTGCTATATGTATCACCATTTCATTCTTTTTTGTGGTTGAATAATATTCCATTGTTTGGATATAGCATATTTATTTATCCACTTATCCACTGAAGAACATCTGGGTTGTTTCTACATTTTGACCATCGTGAATAGTGCTGCTACAAATATTTAGGTACAAGTATTTAAATACTTGCTTTCAATTGTTTTGAGTCTATACCTAGTAGTGGAATTGTTGGGCAATATGGTAACTCTGAATTTAATTTACTGAGGAATCCTCAAGCCATTTTCCACTGTGGCTGCATCATTTTACATTCCTAGCAGCAATGTAAATGAGGTTCCAATTTCTCCACATTCTTGCAACCTTTATCATTTTTCCTTTTTTATTTGTTTAAATTATGGCCATCCTAGTGTGTGTGAAGCTCTACTTAGCTTTGATTTGCATTTCCTTAATGACTACTGATTTTGTTTTTAAAGATTTATTTATTTTATGGCCGGCACCGCGGCTCACTAGGCTAATCCTCCACCTGCGGTGGTGGCACTCCGGGTTCTAGTCCCAGTCAGGGCGCCGGATTCTGACCCAGTTGCTCCTCTTCCAGTCCAGCTCTCTGCTGTGGCCAAGGAAGGCAGTGGAAGATGGCCCAAGTGCTTGGGCCCTGCACCAGCAAGGGAGACCAGGAGGAGGCACCTGGCTCCTGGCTTCGGATTGACGCAGTGTTGGCTGTAGCGGACATTTGAGGGGTGAACCAACGGAAGGAAGACCTTTCTCTTTGTCTCTCCTTCTCTCACTGTCTAACTCTACCTGTTCAAAAAAAAATATTTTATTTGAAAGGCAGCATTATGGAGAGACAGAGTTTACTTGTTTTATTTTTAGGTAGAGCAATGAGGAAAAAAAGAAATGTCCAATTTATACTAATTGAAATTATTTTGTTAAAATTTTAACATAGTGGGAGTTTACCTTAGTGATTAGATACCAAGTTAAAACACCTGTATCCTACATCAAAGTGCCTAAGTTCAATTCCTGGCTCTGGCTCTTGACTCCAGCTTCCCACTAATGCAGAGCCTTAGAGGCAGCAATGATGAGTCAAGTAATCGGCTTCTTGCCACTCCCATGGGAAACCTGGATTCAGTTCCCTTTGACCAACTTTGGCCTAGCTCAGCCCAGTCACACCAACTGCAGCATCTGGGGAATGAGCAAGTAAATGGTGCATTCTCTTTCTTGGTTTCTCTCTCTCTGCTTCTCAAATCAATAACTTCTTTCAAAATAAAATGTTTCCACAGTTTTAATAATATGTTAATTATTCTTTTTTTTTTCACTAAAAGTGCTCACCAGAGAATATAAAACATCATTTGAAGGTAATTAATTTGAGAATATTTGGTAGGGGAAAACCTGGAGGGGAACTATGATCTGTGCATAATATATGTTCAATAACAAGTATGTATTAAACAAATATTACAGAAGCAGTGCTCTTCCTATGAATTTCAATTCAAATTAACCAATATTTGTTAAAGTAATATCATTATAATAGAGTATGAATTGAGTTAAGACATCACCTCAAAGATTCAAGTTATAGTTATAAAAATACAATGACTTGAGTATGTAAATCCAACTGGTATACAGTGCCCAGACGAATACAGCAATAAATGAACCTAACACAGGAAACTCTTACTTCCACCAATTGAAAATCAGATGGAGTTAGAATATGCTTGAATGTTAATAACAAAGAACTTGTACTTTATTGTGAGGAAAACTTAAAGCTAAAATATGCTTTGAATAAAGCTAAAATCTGACCATAGGTGTTCTTGAAAGAGAATTCTGGCACTATTGTGGCAGACAGGATGGAAGGAGAAAGGGCTAGATCCGGGGAAACTTACTGGAAGGTCATTCCAATTGCCAAGAGAAACAGTCATATGACCACAGGGTAGAAAGGAGAGGATGGATCTCAGAGATCTGGGGTGGCTGGAATAGTTAGACTTAGCAACTGATTAAACACTGGTGATGGAGAGGGAGCAAAATGTTATGGGCTCCACCTTGGGCTGCAAGGTCGCCAGTTAGGTGAGAAATAAGGCAGCAAATGAGAACTTTTAAATAAGAGAGGGCATGGAAGAGTTGAATAGGGACCTCAGTGAATTTGAATTGTTTGCAGAAAACCCAAGTATATATATCTAGCAAGCAATATAAAGCTGTATTTATACAAGCATAAAATTTACAATATCATTTCCCCAAAGTAACAATCCAGATATCATCCATGATGAAAATGGATGCGCGTAAACGGCCCCTCCAGTGTCACGTCTCACCTAGTCCTTTACCTGAACTGCTCTGCTCCAGCCTGACTTCAATTTTAGGTGCATCCATATTTTCCCTTATCAATTCCTTCTTTAACTTCATTTTTCAACTACGATTTTAATTCCTCAAGTGGGTCCTTCCTCACCTTGGGCCTAAGTCCCAGTGGTTAAGTATTTGTAGAATGTTGTGTTCTCTGCTGTATCTGAAGTGCCAGGATGGTAGAGACTCACCTCATTCCACACTGCAGTCTCATAGGACAGCTCGAGAAGCGAAGCAGACGGCTTGGATTCTAATCTGACTGGGTTATAATTTAGAACGAGGGACCTGCACTCAGAAGCCACACTTTTCACCACAGGAACTACATTGTTCACACCCTCTCAACTAACTGAATCATGGCTGGGTTTTGCTTGTTTTTAATTCTTGAAGGGCTCAAAACATCCACAATATTGAAATAAAGTATTTGAAAGTTTACGAAGGCAACTTACCTGGAGGTTACTTCATTAAATTCCATATCAGTGTCTCTATCCAAATAATAATCCTTCTTCTCTCAAGAAAATGTAATGAAAATGAGTGTGACAAAATATGATTGGGCAAATTAAGAGAAAGAGAATTCCAATTGTTAAAAATTTTCATCTTAACCAAAATATATAAACCTTTCACCTTTATTACACATAACAGCATAAAAGCACTTGACAACAACCAAATCTGACACAATCTGCACAATGTTGCCAGATATCAAGTGGAATGCTTCTCTGACTTGTAATTTTTTTATTTTTCATAAGTAAAGTCCTACAGAATTAAAAACATACTACTGAAACATATAGTGGAAATGAGACAGATCAATATTGTAGTTTGAAGTACCATAGCCTATAGCAAACTACTTGAGTTTAGCATTCTATATTTCATAGACTTGAAAGATCAAGTTTCCCCACAGCTGTGGGTGTGCCAGCCTCCCTCCAAACATCCAAAAGTAATTGGTTCTGACTGCTGCGCTGTTCTCTACTGGGCTGTATGGACTCAAAAGCTCTTTACTCAAAGCCCTTTCTCGTCATTACAACTCAAGATAAAAGCTCTAGAGCACCATAAGTTAATGGGTCAAAGACCAGCACACTGGAGAAGTTAAAGTACTGACAAGTGTACAACTGATGAGAAATCTTAGATGAACTCTGGCTTTATTATTGTAAGCCGATCAAAAAATAAAAAGGGCACCTGAAGAGGGATAAAGCTGGTGTTGGTTAGCAACTACATGTTAATTTGTGTGATTACATGAAAAATAGTTACTGTGGGGGCCAGTTCTGTGGTGTAGCAGGTAAACCTGACACCTGCAACACCAGCATGCCATATGGGTGCCGGATCAAGTCCCAGCTGCCTACTTCCAATGCAGCTCTCTGATAACGCACTTGGGAAAATAGCAGAGATGGACCCCTCCACCCACAAGGGAGAAGCGGATGAAGCTCTAAGCTCCTGGATTTGCCTGGCCTAGTGCTAGCCATTGCAGCCATGTGGGGAGTACACCAGCTGATACAAGATCTCTCTCTCTCTGTTTGTATGCATGTGTGTATCTTCTCTCTTTCACAATAAATAAATCTTTAAAACAAAAAGAAAAATGATTAATTCCACTTTTTATTTTAAGTTCACTAGAAAAAGGATTGTCTGCTTTGGTTCAAATTATATCTTCAAGAACAAAACTGAGACTACCACAGAATTAGATGCTCAATAATTCTGAATTAATGAGTTAAGAAAAAATTAACAAAAAATAATACTAAACAGGAAGAGCACAAGAGGCAAGGGAGTAAAAAAAAAAGGAAAAGTATGCAACTAATTAAACTAAGGAGATGAATGTTTAAAAAAAGGAGTAGTTAAAAAAAATGTTGAAAAGGATGAGAAGGAACTAAAGGACAGAGCAAGCAGAAAATTACTAGTGACCTTGGAGAAAAGTAGATTCATCAGAAAGACTCAAAAGTCAGATGGCAGTAGGACTCAGGGGTACGTGGAATGGGCGTATATAGAAGTAGGAAGTATGGGCAACAGTATGTCAAAGGAAGCAGAGAAAGGCTGCAGCAAGAGCAGAGAGCTCAGATGCTGGAATGTACCGGTAGTGACCATGGAGGAGGAGTTACGTGCTCAAAGCTACAGTAGAAAGCAGAACAAGATGATGAAGTTTGCAGCTGAAGGAGTAGGCCGATAAATAATCTTTCCCTATTCTGTAATTCAGTTACTTTCCATCAATGTAATGTTGATAAAAATAAGAGCTTTTATTTATTTTTGAGTACTCACAAAGTGCAACGAAAAGTCCAAAGCACTTTAACACATCTTTAGCAGGTAGTGGTACCTTATCCTCAGTTTAAAGACAAAAATCCTGAGATCCAAGTCATATGGTTAGCAATCAACAAAACTGGAATTTGAACCCAAACCTATCTGACTTTGGTGACACACACAATTTTCACTCATTTTTAACTCCCTCAACCTTTGACTCGTTACAGCTACCAGTGGCCACATGATCCTTTTCCAAGTAAAGGAACACAAGCAGAATGCTGTCTGGAGCTTCGCTGGATGGCTCTTGTTTTCTTTAAAATACATAAATATTCAAACAGATGAAAACATCCTTTTTTTTTTTTTTAAAGAAGTCTGCCAAGGGCCTTGTGCTGTGGTATAGAAGGTAGAGCCCCGGCCTGAAGCGCTGGCATCCCATATGGGCACCGGTTCAAGTCCTGGCTGCTTCATTTCCCATCCAGCTCTCTGCTACGGCCTGGGATAGCAGTAGAAGATGGCCCAACTCCTTGTGCTCCTGCACCCGTGTGGGAAGACCCAGAGGAAGTGGCTCAGCTCCAGATGTTGCAGATGGAAGACCTTTCCCTCTCTCTCTGCCTCTCCTCTCTCTGTGTAACTCTTTCAAATAAATAAATAAATCTTTAAAAAAAAAAGTCTGCCAATACATATATATCCAATTCTTTCAGTATGAATGTGACTGCAAATCCTAAAGCTGGGTGCTATCTGATGACCAAGAGGAAAGGACAGAGAAATTACAGAACAGTTTAGCTGCGAAACTAACGACAGTAGCCGCCTACTTCTAGACTTCTTGCTAAGTGAGAAAAACAATCTTCTGCTTTTGAAAAGCCTGCTTTTGGTCAGGTTTTCTGATATTTACCCTTGACAGTATCCCTTACGGGTACTGCTCCAAGGCTCCACGCTCTTATCCACCAAACAACACTGCCTCCTATCTATGACACACAAAGACTAAGATCTGCTCTTCTGCCTCCCTCAGAGTTCTTAAGAAGTTCAAGTCAGAAAATGCATTTACAAGTGTCTTGAAAAATACAAATTTTTATACAAATTTATTACTGTTTTGAAAGCAGTGATCCTCAAGTCAGGGACGAGACAGGAAAGCACACATCCTGCAGAAACTTGGAGTTGAGCAGCATTCTCCTAGGAGGGTACATCAGAATCTCCTAGGGGAATTTTTCACATTACATGTGTCTACTCTTGAGAATCACTGCCACGGTGAACCGTACCTTACAGTTGTTCTTTGATAATGGGTATATCCTGCAGATGTCCTCTGATGGAAAGCTTGATCAATTTTGGTCTTTTTTTTTTTTTTTCTCTTTTTCACTTCCCACCTTTATTTTTTTTTTAACTTTTATTTAATGAATATAAATTTCCAAAGTACGACTTATGGATTACAATGGCTTCCCCCACATACCGTCCCTCCCACCCACTACCCTCCCCTTTCCCACTCCCTCTCCCCTTCCATTCACATCAAGATTCATTTTCGATTATCTTAATATACCAATTTTGGTCTTTAAAAATACAAGTACTTCTTTTTTGTGAATAACAATAACAAGCAATATACAAACATATAACCCACAAAAGCTAACCTATATACTACACTGCAATATTAACCAATTGTATCAGAGAGCTGGCAGGAACAAATGTGGATATATTTTGGAGAAAGGCTAGAACAAATGCTATAAACATTGAAAATATTTTTTAGAAAAAGAGTTTCTTCTTCATTTTAATTTATTTTGATAGTGGTCAAATTTACTAATCTCTCATTAAGAAATTTACAGTCATTTAAAAATTGAACTCACATCTCAAGTTGCAAAAAAGTGGCTTTTTATATTTACTAGACACACGACCAGTATTTTTCATTCAATAAATATTTGTTGATCACCTACTGTGAACCAAACTGCTCTTGACACTAGAGCACCTTCACAGCAGACAAAGAAAACACTCAAAATTGTTTGTCTTTATGAACTTAGTTCTACAGAGGGTAGGGAGCAAATGGACCATAAACAAATAAATAAAATACACCGTGTTGATGACAAATACCATAGTTCAGAAACAAAGCAAGAAAGGTGGGAGGAAGATAGATAATATAAGGCCACAGGGAGAAAGAGAGGGAAGTGTGTGAGGGGGCAGGGCCACAGCTGGCAAAGGTTCAATGGGGTGCTGAAAATTGGGGTGCTGACACTTGTGCTGCCACCTGAAGGAGGTAAAGAGCCAAACCACAGCCCTGCGTCTATTTGCTTTCATGCTAATTCCTTTTCTGTTAGCATTTGGAAAGGGGCAGCAGCTAAAAGGCAAAATGATACTGTTTTTCCTTACAAGTCACAATGACCCATTATAGTCAGACCAGAAAAGGGAAATGGTTAACCTTCTCTGAATATAACTGTTGACATAACTGCCATTTGAGAAAAAAGTTCATTTTATGTCACAAATATATTCATTTTTTAAAACTCCCCAAACACATATTTCAAGTGGAGAATTTATTTTTTCAGTTTTAAATGAGCTGAAATTTCATCATGGGCTAAAATTTTAAGACATAAAATGACTGCTGAAACTGAATTTTAATCATATAGATGAATCACAACATGCATCTTTAGCTAGGCATGTATAATGGATAAGTCTAGTTTTCTACAGAGAATAATCACATGTTCTAATTACCATTTTGGTTATACGCATAATTAATAAAATTCTGTCTTAATGGGACACACTGAATCTTCAGACAGTCACAAGCTTTAACTATGCATACTGCCAAATCCTACTGTCAGCTGCACTGCCAAACACAAAGGAATCTTGATGTAGTGTTTTCCATTGATACAAATATGCATATCTTCACACATGATACAATGGAAAAATTAATTGCTTTTCTTCCTTCAAATTTCTCTCTACACTAATTTTATGTTGCTTGATTGATCATTTACCCTAGATTATACATATTGGCTAATGATCTTATGAGCAGTAGAAACATAAATGTAAATGTGATCCAAGATCCAGAGAAAAATGTTGTTAGACAGGACTTACTGATTGTAAACTTTCATTTTCACGTAAACAAGCTGTGTGAAGCTCTGATTTCAAGGTTGCAATGTGACTTCGATGAGAGGTCATTTCCTTCTCTAGTGTAGCGATTCTAGCACTTGCAAGCTGGTAGACATCCATGAAACTTTTAATCATAGCCTTAAGAAATAAAAATAATGTCACATACAATTCAAATAAAGCTGTCCCCAAAGGAGAGTTTCCATAATTTGAAAGCAAAATCATTAAACTTTTAAAATAAACAACTCTTCATCTTTCTTGAAAATAATAAACCTAAAGCTCATATTTTATATTGAGAACAGTGACTTTTTTAAGAAAGTTTTGGAGAAAATAATTGAGACTTCATTCCAGAATGTTTATTTAAATAAGATGTACTTTGATCTATTGTGCTTAAAATTTAGACTGCAGTTTTTAAATATGGCACACTTATTTTCTGTAGTAAAGTTAAATTCAAGTTGTAATTTGACCTAAATTTCAGTCTTAACAGGGACACACAAATAGATATACAAGCAAGATTTTTTTAAATGAGCTGAGTTAGTGATATTTTCAATCTACCTAAAAAAACAAATGTTCTGAAAAAAGGAGCTAAAACAATCTTGTGACTTTTTAAAAATAATTATTCCTATATTGTAAGAAAAACATTATTATGTTCATTCATATAACATAAGAATACCCTCATATTACAGTAAGCTAAATAAAATTAATAATATAGGCAAGTGCTGGTAACTTATTTTCTCACATAAATGGTATTAGAGGATTGTTGGATCTCTACATTATCATTTAATTACTTTTTATATGACTTTATATAACTTCTAAAGCAACCTGTAGTGATTTTAAAGCCTAATGTTCTTACTAGGACTTTAAAAAAAAAGTCTATCAAAATACTTTAAACAGGGGCCAGCATTGGGGCACACTGAGGTCAGCCTCCACTTGTGATGCCAGCATCCCATACCAGAGCACCAATTCGAGTCCTGGCTCCCCTGCTTCCAATCCAGCTCCCTGGTAACACATCATCCGAGAAAGCAGAGGAAGATGGCCTAAGTACTTAGGCCCCTGCCACCTAAGTGGGAGATCCGGATGGAATTCTGGGCTCCTGCCTTTGTCCTTGTCCAGCATTAGTTGTTTAGACCATTTAGGGAGTGAACCAGCAGATGGAAGACCTCTCTTGTGTCACTCTACCTTTTAAATGAATAACTCTTTAAAAAAAAAAAAATGCTTGCAAATATGGCCAAACAAAATCAAACATTTCAAAGATACTTTCAAAAATAATTTTTATATTTTTCCAAGAAAAAACTTTTACCACAGTGACAATTGTGTACAATGGTAGAGTTTGAGAATTTGCCAACTGCATTCAATATGAAGGTCTGAATTGGAAAAACTTGAGAAACTAGACATTTGAACAATTCTGAATGCCTGTATAATTTAGTGAAAAATAAGAAATATTGTACACAGTATTTGAGAAACATAACTGAGCTACTAAGAGGTAAGATTAAGAATTTCTGTCTCAGAAATTTCTTTTCACCCTCAAAAATTCAGCTCAAACACCATAAAAGTCAATGATAAATGTCTCCTGTGGGTCCCCCATGTCTGCTTCTACTATTGCATTTATTGCTTTAATAGAAACTTATTAACTTCCATGTTCACCTACTTTTTAAAATTTTTATACATCTTTATTTATTTGAAAGGGAAAAAGGACTGGGGGTGGGGAGAGAGAGAGAGAGAGAGAGGGGAGAGAGAGAGAGAAAGGGAGGGAAGGAGAGAGAGAAAAAAAGAGAGATCTTCCAAGCACTGGTTCTCTCTTCAAATCCTCAAATCCTGCCAACAACAGGAAGGGCTGGACCAGGTAGAGCCAGGAATCTATCTGGATCTCCCACGTGGATGGCAGAACTTACGTATTTGGGCCAATATCTGCTGGTTCCCAGGTGCACCTGCAGGAAGCTAGATTTGCAGCAGAGTAGCCAGTACTCAAACAACGCACTCTGCTATGGGGTGCAGGTGTCCCAGCCTGTGGCTCAATCTGCTGCACCACAGCGCCCACTACCATGTGCATCACTAGACTCTAGAGTTCCTTAAGTCCAGACACTCAGCCTGCATCTTCAGGGATGACTGAATTAACGATGTTTTGAAGAACAAACTAATGAATGCAATCTTGGAAAACATGAATAAACTACAAGCCATATAGTAGAAAAGAATGAAGATATCTGAGAAAACAGAATCCTAACAGTCAAGCTAATGAATAAATTATTAACCAAACTTTGTTCAACTGGGGAAAAAGGCAATAACCTAGCTATAGGCATAAAAGGATAATGAATAGAAAGATGAATCTGATTATCCAACATTAAATAAGCATGGTACAACCTCACGCTTGGGAGCACCTGACATGTCCTAACCTACCTTACTTTGTGTGACTTCAAGTTACGTCTATAGCTACACTGATGCAAAATATATTCCTGGGCCTCAAAAGATGTAAAAATCAGAAACTGTTAAATCGCATCTGTTTCTTCCTAAGTCAAGTCTCTCTCAAGTCTTATAAATTCATTTTTCTTGTTCATTGAGATTGTTGACAGAAACCACAAGTCCTGGTTTTTTGTTCTCATTCTGCCACTTACTCAGCTCTATGTTGCAGGAAAGTGCCACATCATCTCTCTGAGCCTCTCTCTCTTACCTCTACAAAACGGGAAAGACCAAGGGCCAATGCTGAGGTGTGGCAGGTTAAGCAGCCACCCACAACATCAGCATCCCATACAGACAGCGGTTTGAGCCCCAGCTGCTATGCTTCTGATCCAGCTCCCTGCTAATTGCATGAGAAAGCAGTGGAGGATGGCTCAAGTCCTTGGGGCCCTGTATCCACGTGAGAGACTCAGATTAATTTCCTGGCTCTTGGCTTCAGTCTGGCCCAAACCTGGACAGTGCAGCAATTTGGGGAGTAAACCAGCAGATGGAAGGTCTCTCTCTCTCTCTCTCTCTCCAACTGTGCCTTTAAAATAAATAAAATAAATCTTTAAAAAAGTGGAAGGATAATTTTCTTACCTACTTTCAACAGTTGTAGGGCTTAGATAACTAAAACAGTAATGTTTATTAGGTCTAAGTATTTACTGAAGTCCAGGAACCACATAATCATATTACATGCTTTACTTCCAATTATTTTTTACAGTAACCATATAGAGTAGTACTATTTTTAACCTAGCTCTTCAGAGAACAATACAAGGGCTAAGGAGAGATGAAATAACTTGTCCAGGATCAATATTAATTATATGGTGGTCCAGATTCCCACCCAAGTATATGTAATGCAAAACAATTCTCTTAACCTTTCAGTTTTATTGCAACTAAAAATATCAGAAGGTCCTCTAAAAATGATAACCCACTAAGTCTCTATTTTATTGTCCTTCTTTTAAATTCTTCACTAAAATCTTAATGTGGTAACCTGTGATAGGTAGTTCTTAAATATGTGTTTTTGTTGCATGAGAGGCCTTCAAAAACCTCATGAAAAATGAAAAGTCCTTACAGAAAAACCATGCATGGATTTCAAAAAAAAAAAAAATTGCAACAAAGTGAATTTATCTTTTAATTCTATTTTTCTGAGATCTTTTTAAAGTTTCCTCATACAAGGACCTAAAATGAACTTAACTATTATAACACACAGGAAGTATTTAGATGTTACATTGTCATTGGTTGTACTTCATTGAAAGAAATTATGAATGACTAATTGACCAAAAAACTATATATGAGGACCAGTGCCGCGGCTCAATAGACTAATCCTCCGCCTGCGGCGCTGGCACCCCGGGTTCTAGTCCCGGTTGGGGCACCAGATTCTGTCCAGGTTGCCCCTCTTCCAGTCCAGCTCTCTGCTGTAGCCCGGGAAGGCAGTGGAGGATGGCCCAAGTACTTGGGCCCTGCACCAGAATGGGAGACCAGGAAGAAGCACCTGGCTCCTGGCTTCGGATCAGCGCAGTGCGCCGGCCTCAGCGGCCTTTGGGGGGTGAACCAACGGAAAAAGAAAGACCTTTCTCTCTGTCTCTCTCTCTGTCCACTCTGCCTGTCAAAAAAAAAAAAAAAAAAACCTATATGAGTGAAATGGTTATTTACATATTCAATTATTGTTTATAGCCATTGTCTGTATTCCCACTAAACTAGGGTCTTCTTGCTTTTTACTCATTAAACTTCTTAATCAGTGAAGTATTAAGCCTTTTTACTGTAATATAAATTTAAAATACATTATCTCAAAAACTAAAAGAAAGGAAGGTGGAAGAAAGGAGAGTGGGAGAAAGGAGGAAGGAAGGAGGGGTAGATCATTACTTTTTTAATTTTTTTATGATTATTTCTACACCTTACTTATTTTATTTATTTATTTTTATTTATTTGAAAGACAGAGTTACAGAGAGAGGTAGAGACAGAGGGAGAGGTTTTCCATCTGCTGGTTCACTCCCCTGATGGCTGCAACGGCTGGAGCTGAGCCAATCCGAAGCCAGGAGCCAGGAGTCCCTTCCAGGTCTCCCATGCAGGTGCAGGGGCCCAAGCACTTGGGCCATCTTCTACTGCTATCCCAGGCCATAGCAGAGAGCCCCATTAGAAGACAAGCAGCCAGGACTAGAACCGGCGCCAATATGGGATGCCGGTGCTTCAGGCCAGGGCTTTAACCCACTACACCACAGCGCCAGCCCCCAATCATTATGTTCTTAGACTTGTATCTACGAATCATACTGTCTGTTAAAAATTAATTAAAATTAAAGTGAAAAAGGCCAAAAATGCTTATTGAGTGAAAAAAATCAGAATTATCTTTCTATCAGTAATAGCCTCCTAGATTATTATTTCATAATAGGTCACAATATAATAGACCTTTAACATTTGAGGATAAAACATTTCAGCATTTTAAGTTACCTTATTTCCTAAATTTAAAAAAGCCCATCTCATGTACTGTCATATACACAATATTCTAAAAATAAATAAATGATAATCTTTCAAACCTATATTTTTTAAAAAAAGTTATTTTTGAGAAGAAATGTCACAGTTATGTGATGGATGGAACAAAAGTCATAACTATTTTGCTTCATTCCTTGATATACTTTTCAAGACTAAATCATAATATTCAATGCAGTGTTAATAGACATCACATGTTACTTCTTTATAACACTCAAAGGGAT